CGGCCCGCCGCCTGCCGCAGGCAGTCAGACACCCGCAACTTTCCCGGTTCCCAGCACTCGCTGCCCCCTCAGACTTACCCTGTCACAACAGGCGCCATCTTCCACAAACTCTCGCCAAAACTCCAACCCTCGCGAGATTCCCCCCGCCGCCTTTCCCTGCTCCTCTCCCCCGCCCCTTCCCTCGGCCTCGCTGATCGCTGCCACCCGGCCCCCGCGCCGTCTTTCCCCGCTTCGCCGCCGCCAGGAGCCAGCCACCTCGCGCCGCCCGCGGACTAAGGGATCTGTTCACTGCCTTCCCTGGAAACCTACCCCGACGATGGAGCATGCGCAGGCCGCTCCTCCGCGGGCGAGCCCTCCCTGTAGTCCATGGGGAGCGCTCCGGTTATCCGGGTTTTGGGACGCGCCCTCGGGGACGTACGTGGAGACTGAGGAAAACCGGAGGGCATTACTACGGGGACCAGGACTAGAGGGGTCAGGAGGCGGGGCCCAGGGGCCGGGAGGAGGGGTCCTGGGAAAATGTGAGCGTTTCACAGGCCTAGATGAGACACCTCCTCAAGTGGGTGTTTTCCAAGTGGCTTCCCGCTCGCGGCGGGTTCCCAGCCCTTTTCATTCATTCAGACGTTCCCTGGACACCTCCCTTATGCTAATCTCGGTGTCAGGTGCCGGAGCGGCGGAGAGCGGACAGAGATCCGGCCCCCGTGACCTGCCAGCGACTTGTCTTCATTCATTTGCCCCTGCGCTACCCGCACACGTGGTGAGACAGGCATGATCATCGCGTGGGCTGACCCTTTCCAGAGCCCTGCGGGCGAAAAGCTCGGTGGCTTTCGCCGCTTCTCCCCCGATGCAATCTGAGGTCAGCCCGAGGTCAGCCTCTGGCAAAGCCCCCCCCCCAAGATGTCCACCTTGCACCCACACGGCACAGCCCCGAATGGTTCTCCCCCAGAGCCATCACTAAGAGCCACACTCCAAGCCCAGGCACTTGGGAGCGAGCTACCCGCCGAGCTCCGGCTGCCTGGGGACTCATGGCAGCAGGCAGCTTGCAGGATGTAGGTGTAGGTGCAGGCGGGCAGATGACCGCCTAGAAGCAGCTCCTCCGTGGTGGCCTGACCCTGTCGCCCGCTGCTCGCCCCGGACACCTAGGCAGGTGGAGGCCCGAGCCGTGCCCCTCCGCTACCTGCCATCCTCCTTGCTCCCCCCTTCCCCGCCCTTTGCTTTCCAAGAGATTCCCAGCTCGTTCCTGCACTGCCTCCCGCAGGGAGCCACAAAACCCGGAAAACTGGACTACACCGCCCGAAACCCGCTCCGAAGCGCCGCAGGATTGGCGCGGCGCGCTCGCGCCACTGCGCATGTGCGCAATGCGGGCAGCGGAGTCTCACGCTACACCTCCTTTCCGACCGCCTTCCACCGCTCGGCTCAGACACAACACGGGCCGTGGGAAATTTCCTAAACCTCGCGAGAATGCGCTCCCCTACCCACCCCCGGGCGGCTGGGCGTGCGCCCTAAATCTCGCCGAGCGGGGCCCCGACAGGTGTTCGTCCCGTGCGCCACCCAGCGCGCGTGCCCGGGCGCGAAAGGCAGGGTCGGACTGGCCCGCGAGGCGGGGCCGTGGGCGCGTGGCGGGGAGCGGCGGGCGGAGGCCGCCCTGGCACACTCACGCACGCGCCGGGGAGGCTTCCTGTCGCCCTCCGGAGCCTGGTACTTTCCTGAAATGTGACAGACGCGGTGCCCCCCACCTCCGGGAGCTGACAGACAGCCCCGTGTCGGCTTTGAGTCATGCATCTGAGTCACCTAGTCTGGCCTCCACTTCACTTTCTTTACAACAAGTTTGGATTCCCTTAACTATTCTAGCAATGGGTGGTTTTTACTTTATAGTGACTTCGATGGCTTTGTGAGCCGGGCAAGGCTCCGAGAAACCTGAGCTTGGCGATCTCGCACGTTTGCCTTGTGGTACAGAGGACACGATTTAAATATCTTCCCCTTAGTCTGTTCTACCCTTTAAAGGAATCCTACATACATGTCAGTTTCAGTCTCCCCTCTCCCCCATATGACTTAAAATGCCAGTTGTTTCCTTCCTCTTTCTATACTTTTGTAGTAAGCATCCCCTTTTAGGTACTGTTTCATCAGATACGTTAGTGCCTGCTGTTCTCCCTTTTTGAATTATTTACTTGCCCAAAAGGTGTCAGAACTTTCTTCAGTCTGCCACTTTCCACATTGGCGTGGTGCTGTATAGAATCAATGTCTTACGGGCATCATGCACCCACAAATGAAGACTGGGTTTTGATATTTAGAAGACAGTGAACTCTCTAATAGCGAGTGTCTCCTGGTTGAAATAAAACTTTGCTTACTGAAGCTTTGAGGTATGTGATACACATTTGCCTATTGCTTTGATTATTTACTTTACATTTTAAAAAGAATGTATGCCCATTTAATACACTGTCAAAACAAGACTAATCTGGAACAAGAGAATGCTGCAGAAGTAAAATGCCTTTAAACATTTCCTCAAGGATTTTTAGACCTACTATGGTCTGTGGCACTAATGTTGGACAGAAAGACATGAGACCTTGGAAAGCCCTGTTAGTCATAAAACTAATCTCAACTCATCAGCTCCGCCTATAGTGTTTTCCTTTCTCAGTAAAGCCAATTCCTTTGCTCTCACTTAAGAGGACCTTGGAATTACTTTTGCCTTTTTTATATCACACACCCAGGATTGCACCAGCAAGACCAATCATGCTAGTCAGATGTATTTTCTAATCGGTAATATGTAAGGAAGGAAGCTAATATTGCTCCCAGCTTTGGAGGCTGCACGAACAAATGATGCTAACATCTGTTTAGCTGTCACAAGTCCTTAACAGATGGTGTCACAATAATAGAAGTATGTGTATACAGAAGAGGTCACATAGACTGGAAGATTGGAAACCAGAGGCAGAGCAGGAGCCAGGTTTATTCTTTTTAGAATGACTTTAAAAAAAAATCAAGTTACCTTTTCTTTTTTTAGATATGTGTGGTGTGCACAGGCCATGGCACACATGGAAGTCAAAGAATAACTTGCTAAGTTTATTCTCACCTATTATGTGGGTTCCAGGGATCAATCTTTGGTTGCCAGATTTGATACCCTGATTATCCACCACTAGGCCCAACTTCTTGAATATTCAACCACTTCTCATGTTACTACTTTGGCTCCTAGATTGTGCAAGAACTTGGGGTCACAAGTAAATATTTTTAAAGCAGGTACTATACCTTCAAAGTAGACCTAGATCCTAACCTCCTATATCTCCTCAGCAACTAGCTTCACCTAACCCATCTGTTTCTCCACATGGGTTACAGGTTGTCTGCTAAGAGATCTTCCTTTCTTCCACTCCACCCCCAGCCAACCTGAGTCTCTTCTCATGGGACCACTCCTCATCTTCTAAGACCGGTTTTTCCATTTCACTAGGAGAACTTACCATTTGGCTTGCTGCCAAACCCTCCTGACCTCTTCAACTCCAGCAGTTCCTCCCCCTCCTTTACTTGAAGCTCTAGCCTGCTGCCCTTCTTGAAGCTCAGGGGGCACGGTAAGCATTCTCAACTCTGAACCTGTGCCATTTCCGTGACCAGCAGTGCTCTCCCCTCATGCATATAGGAGGAAGACTCGTTTGAAGTCTTTAGGTCAATGTCATACCCTGGCCATTTTCTGGCCACCCTTCCCTAGAGTGACTCCCATGCCTCTTTCTTCTTATGTGCTTTGTTTCAATCTTCAAGCCTTGGTTCCTGGAACACTGCCTGATGTGTAGATAGTCATTATTTGCAGGAAGGATGGAGGGAGATAGGGAATCTCTTAGGGCAGAGTAGAGGTGATTTTAAAGGATAGAAGGAAGAATATTTGAAAGTGGGGAGGGGGGAGCCAGGTGGTGGTGGCGCACGCCTTTAATCCCAGCACTCGGGAGGCAGAGGCAGGTGGATTTCTGAGTTCGAGGCCAGCCTGGTCTACAGAGTGAGTTCCAGGACAGCCAGGGCTACACAGAGAAACCCTGTCTCGAAAAAAAAAAAAAAAAAAAAGTTTTCCTGCTCTCCATGTGAACCCCTCAGGAAAAAAAAAATTCTTTTAATGGACAATAAAAAAATAGATTTAAAAAAAAAAAAAAACCAGGGGTTGGGGATTTAGCTCAGTGGTAGAGCGCTTGCCTAGCAGCAAGGCCGTGGGTTCAGTCCTCAGCTCTGGGGGGAAAAAAAGAAATAGATACTTCTATGGGTGAGCCGTGGGATTAAAAATATGGAAATTGTGCATATTTGCCACTGTGTGTTAACCATACAACTTGGCGTGGTTTATGCTACAAGTGTACTTAACCTATTTGTTAAGTTACCTGAATGTTTTGGCACCTCTAATGGTCAAAGAAAATACTGGAAACCTCCTGAGTATCAGTAAGAAATATCTTTTTCTTATTGTTTTCCCTGTGTTTGTGTGTCTGAATGCATGGCCATGGAGATCAGAGGGCAACCTTCTCATGCTCACCTGTCACTTAGTTTGAGACAGGATCTCTTGGTTTTTCTCTTGCAGATTCCTAGCAAGCTGACTAGTGAGCATTCAGGACTGTCTTGTCTCCGCCTCCCATTTTCCCATAAAGACATTGGGATTGCAGTTGCTGGATGTAGGAGGACGGTTTAACAAGGGTTTGGGGACTTGGTCTCAGGTCCTCATGGAGCAAGTGTATTTATTCACTGAGCCTTCTCTCTCAGCCCAGGGTTTTGTTTTGCTTTGCTTTGCTTTAAATCAAGAAAAATTAAAGAGTGTAATAGTATGTATGTATCTGTTTTTAAGTAAAACTTACTCTTTAGGTTCTTTGGTGGAAGGTTCTATAACAAGCAAACAGTGGTAGATACTATGTATATATTTGCCTGTGCTATAGAAAATGGTTCTAGGAACAATGTAATAGTATGTATGTGTCTGCAAAGTCAGAAATACTTTTTATCTATCTCATAGTTTCAACAACAAGCAAATAGTGATACATAAATGTACACTTAGTGGCCTATTTGTTTCTAACATGGCTGTCTTGGGGCTTTTGAATTTGTGCCAAGTGCATATATTGCCTACTCAAAATATAAAACAGGAAAATAAAAGAGAAATGATGTAGTAAGTGTTCAATAAGCAGAGAGAGAGAGAGAGAGAGAGAGAGAGAGAGAGAGAGAGAGAGAGAGAGAGAGAGAGAGCAGATTTGTTTTTCTGTTTACTTCATCGGAATCCTTTTCCAAAAGACGTTAGGCATGTGATGTGGCATCTCAGTGGAATTAAAATGGAAGAACTCTTGATCCACTTGGCTCAAGCCAAGTGTTTTACAAAAATGGCTGACACAAAGGGACTTCGGGGCCCCCCAACTAGCAGAGTGTATAGACAAATCAGTGCTAGAGAGCAAGCCTGGGTTGACAGGCTTGGAGCAGGATGGAAGATCTAACTCTTGCCTCTGTAGAGATG